CTTTTCCAGGGCTTTTCTGGTCGGAAAAACCGATATAAAGTACGAGACTTTGAGTTTTCTTCATTTTCCACCAAAAATGTCCAGTGTTTTAACGGGGTAAGTGAGAAAAACTTTAGTTTTATCAAGTCGGTTTTGGAATGTCATTTTCGTTGGTTTTTTTTTTTTGGAATTTTTATTTGAGGTTTTTGGGGTCCGGGGATCGTTTTCTATCACTTTTTTTCTCGAAATTCGCAAAATAAACGTTGACAGCTGTCAATTTTTTTTGACACAAATCGATAGTTAGCGTCGCGAAACTGCCTTGTACCGGGGTTTGATTTTCGTAGCTTTTATAGTAGAGCGGAGAAAAAGTCGAACGTGTGTCAAATTTGACAGATGACATTTGTCGATATTGTCAAAGTGTCGTGCGACAAAAGTTTTATCCGAACGAACTCGTTCATTGTTAACTGATTTTTCATACTCCGGCCCTTCGGGCCGTAATCTTTGAAACAAAAAGACGCCATTTTATATCGACTGTCAAAAAACCCAAGGTTTGAAATTTCAATTTTTTGACGTTTGTTGTATCATGAGCAGTGTTGCCATATGTTTTTCTTTCAAATCTCGAGCTCGAAGGCCCGAAATTATAGATTATTTTAAAGCCAATCAAGAGCCGGAAATTAACAAAATTCGAATCCCCAAACCAATCAGGAGCCGGGAAAATTCAAAAATTCGAATTCCAAACCCGAAGGGAAATTGAATTTTTTGTACCAACTGTTGCTACATAAATCTCACCCTAAAACCCACTAAAAAACGACCTTTGTTTTTTGGAAAAAACAAAAGATTTTTTTTTTGAGATTGACAGCTGTCAAAATTTTAATGGGCATATAGATTTAGCCTCGGCGAATACGTAGGATGTACCAATTTTTTTTTTTTTAACATATGTCAAAAAAGACGTTCGGCGTTGCCAGGCGGTTGGTTTTTGACATATATCGATGAAACTTCTTATTTTAGGGTTTTCGGAGCCTAGGGATCGTTTTATGACATTTGTTTTTTGAAAAAAAGAAAAGGTAAAAATTTTTGACATTGACAGTCAAAATTAAAAAAAAAAAACTACATGGGCATATAGATTTAGCCTCGGCGAATACGTAAAAAGTAGCCAAACAGGGCCAATTTTTTGACGTTTGTTGTATTATAAGCAGTGTTGCCATATGTTTTTTTTTCGAATTTCGATTCTGGAAGGCTGAAGTTATCTCAATTATGAGCTCAAAGGGCCGAGGTTATACGAGTCCGAAGGGCCGGAATCATACGAACCCGAAGGGCCGGAGTTATACGAACCCGTTTATTGTCAACTGATTTTAATACTTCGGCTCTTCGGATCGTAATCTTTGAAACAAAAAGACGCCATTTTATATCGACTGCTTTGATATTTCAATTTTTTGACGTTTGTTGTATCATGAGCAGCGTTGCCATACGTTTTTATCAAAGCTCGATTTATAGGTTATTTTAAACCCAATCATTGACATTTCTGAAAAATATTTCCTTTAAAATTTCCAAATATCCTTTGGAAATCTATTAAAATCTCAGAATTCCATAATTTAGTGGAATTTCGGTAGAATAATTATGTTATTCTGAAAACGGAATTAGATGTGAAATTTTTGCGGAGTTTCCATATAGTTGGGGAGCTGGCGTCAAAAACATGCAAGAGTTTTCGCAAGGCTGATATTTTCAAAATAGGTCGTACTTTAGTGCTAGAATGCTAGTGTACAGTCAGCACTCACAGTTCCGGGACAGCTAGCTCTGGGACGCGGGCAAAGTTGTAATTTTAAGAAGCATCTAAACTGTTTTCTCAAAGCTCAAAATTTATAGAAATTTTGCACATTATCTGTTTGAAGGTCACAGATAACGTATGTAAATCGTCAGACGTCTAGTTCGTTGCAAAAAGGGGGTCAGACGTCCTCAAAGTTTTTATTTTATGGCATTTTCTTCGGTGTCCTGTCAAAATATATTTTTGCAGGTATTTGACAAATATATTAAAAACTTTTATTTGGGACACTTTTTTCTAAAATGTCAAATAAAAAAGATAGAGGGGGGTGACATTTATAACCAATCAATAACCCTGTACAGCATTCATACAAAAAAAATATGGTCACCATACTGTAAAGGAAAAGCAACGAACTATCCAACGATATGCAGCACAAGGTAGGTTCGTATTGAAAAAAAAGGGTAGCTACCCCCTAAGGGGTACGAAACGGGGTGGCTCAAAAAGTGCCTCATTTTGGTTCCCTATCTAAGCCCCCAATTCCTCCGATATGTATTTGAGATCTTGATAGTATTTTTTGTCAAAGAGATATTCCCGATTGCGGGATTGTTACTTTCCAAATTAATTGACACCCTGGCAGAAATCACCTAAATACAGATGCGTAAGTAAGTATCCTTGCCGTTGCTACGAAACCAGGGTAGCCGCTAACACGGCCAATAATTTATAGTGCGTGAGGTGACCGTGTTCCAACCTGTTGTGTTTACATAATAACATTAAACCACGAATTCACCGCTCTTTCGCATCTGTATGTAGGGGAGCTGTGACGTGGATCCCGTACCTACTATGCGACAAGCGGCCAGCCGCCTTAAGGAAGGAGCGAGGTTTCGTAGCTTTTGAATCGACGGCAAGGTCCCTTACTTACGCATCTGTAAGTAGGTGATCTGTGAGCCTGGGGTCGTATTTTCGAATTTATCCGAGTAGGTACACTTCACACTCCGTACACGAAATTTGACTATGACAGCAATGTGAATTAAATAAAAATAAAAAAATCGTAATATCAAATTTCGTATGCGAGAATATTCAAAAATACGACCCCGGTCCTTATTCTCGAAACAGGGGAGCAGCGTTCCCAGGAGAACGAGTGTTCCGTCTTTCTCAATGATATGCAACTGATAATGTAAGTAATAAAGACGGAACACTCGTTCTCCTGGGAACGCAGCTTCCCGGTTTCAAGAATAAGGACCCTGAACCACATGTTCATTTGAGTTGAGTTCGGAATGGGATTTTAGTGCAGTGCTAGTGCGGTGCTCGTGTAGTGCAGTGTCATAACGGGTGATGAAGGTGTAATCGACGGTGTAACACCGAATACACCATCATTTTGTACCGAGTAAACGGTGTCCCACCATTTTCATACTGTTGTGGTTTCCAACATTTATTTATTTTTCAAGAGTAGAATCTGTGGTAGAATGCTGCCAATGCCGTGCTAATTCTTGTTCGTAAATCCAGGTTCAAGGAAACACGATGGTTTGATTAATTATGAAAAGTGTTTTTATTTTAATTTGAACGAAAAACGACTATTTACAACTATTTACAGAAAACAGGTAACAAATTCTGAAGAACATTGCATATTTAAATAAGTATATGGAACGTTCACTTTAACGCAAATAATTGGTTAATTAACAGCAATTAAACAATAGAAAACTGAAGAGAAAGAAAAGGTTGATTTCAGGCGCACGATCGGGCCATTTGGAGAAAAGAAAAAAGCGGTACAAAACAACCCTTGCAATTCGTTACGATCTCTGACTAGAAGTGAGAACTCAAGGCAAACAAAAACTTCGACTTCGTAGGTACTCTCCACCTCCAGTCTTGACCTACTTTTACGATGCGTTTGGGCATACGCACGTTCCCTTGAAAATCGGGTAGAAACGTAAAAACAGAAGATTATAGTAGGAATAAAAATATAAAGAAATTTAACTTTAAATACAGCGGCGGCGGCAGCGGGTTGAAATGAAATTTCAACACTGAATACATATGCATTTAATAAAGTGAACTTGTTGAATATCAACAAGTAATCAACAACCATGCATTTAATTCTTATGAATTGAGGTGCTTGTCACCAAAACTTGTGCAAGGTGAATTACTTGGTTCAATAATGTTTTATTCACATTTCTGTTTCTATAAATCTGTAGTAATCATTAGAAAACCGTCTAGTTTTCTGTTTACAAACAGCAGATAAAGTCGAACATTTGCTAGTAATGGATTACAGATAGAAAGTTTTGATTGATTTCTACCAAAACTGAATTCTACCTCTGACATAAATCTTCATATTTTTATGCATATGATTTGATATTTTTATAATTACAATTGGAAAATTTAACGATGAAGCAGTCATTGTGACATTTAGATTTGTAGGAAACACTTTGATGTGTCTTTGTGTCTAAATATTTTCTGATATATAACTGTTCGAGCTTCCACCTTTCACTATCAAGTAATGCACTAGTAGAAAAGATGTTGAGGCTGCTAACATCATTTCAATAATAGCAGCTAAAGTTCCATTTTAATCATGAGATTGTTTTTGATGTTCTGATCTACATATTTGTGTAAAATTACCAGTTTTTTCACAGAAATGATTGTATCTTTTGCTAAACATTTATCTCCAGAGTGTCTGTTTCTTCAACAAAAATAACATTTAGATGTAATTATAGCAAGTGTATCCAATAATAATATTTTGACTGTTGGTGAAACATTTTCTAAAAATGCTAGTTGATATATGAATGTTCTTCTTCTAGGTTGAGTCGTATTTTCTAAAAGTCTCTACCTGTGAGATGTGGTAGGACCACGAATAAATTAATCTTAGTCATTTAAATTCTGCTTTAAAATTATAGTCTTTACCTATGATTATATCAAAGTTTGTAAGTATGTACTGGTCTATAGATTCACTTACTTGAGCAAAAAATTCACTTTGTGTTTTTACATATGACTCAGTTGAGTTTAAAATTAAAGTTCAACTCTCAAGCTTGATAGTTAAGAAAGCCCATGAGCTACTGGAACTAAACCGAAACTGCGATTATTACAATCTAATTTAATGGGGAAAAGATAAGGATATTGAATTGAGTAATGTTTATAGTTTTTTTCAATACAAAAATGATGTCATAGGAATAGCAAAACCGATAATATTCATGTTGCACAAGGTTTTCAAGTTAATCAACTTTTACTATAAGTATTTTAAATGACTTCATCATGAATAAATTCAGAAAATTTTTACCTGATTCCTCCTAACTTCAGCTTCATACTTCCTGGAATCAAAATCCTCCTCACCCACAGAACCACTTCTTCTATGCTCAATTTTCAAATTCGAATTCGTACTGGCAGGTGAAGGACTCCTATTAAAATACTGCGGATTTCTACTAAAGCTGGGACTCATGTTGGCTTTGTTTATATTAACATTTTTATTAACAGTTTTGTTGTTTAAATCGTTATGGTCGAAATTAACGTTCGGGTTGTTTTTGGGAATGCAACCGTTTTCGTAAATTATCACTCGGTTGTTGATGTTTTTCGTTTCGTTTACTGTCACATTAACGTATTGAGGCTGTTTGTGTCTAAATATTTGACCTAAAAATAATTGTTAAAATAATTCAGGGACTAGAGATTAACTTACCACCAGGAGTTTTATTTTGTTGCTTATCTTGTGTGTTTAGTTCAACATAATTGACAGCGCTTTGTGGTAAACTTTTCCTCAAACTAAGACTGTCATAGTCTTTGCCTAAAACGTCCTTAACTGGTACATTGACTGTAGGCACGTTGGACGTAAAAACTTTGGGCGAATAAGATTTTTTCAAATTTTGCGCGGCCAAATATTCGAATTTCGATACTTTCGTCATTATGCTGGAGGGTGCCTCGTCGCTATCGGACAAAGATTCTCTGGGACTTTTTTTGGGCACCGCAGGGGGCTTTTTGTTGAATTTTTGATAGTTGACGTCGGCTGGTTCAAACGTTATTGGCGCCATCGAGATTCTCGGGTTCGGTAGGACGGATTTCATTAATTTCGCTTCCGCTGGGTGGTTGAATCTCAAGTAGTTTGAACGTCCAATGGTCAACATAACACCTGTAATTTTTAAATAGTTGTGAGTAGTAGAACTTAGATTACTCATGAAATGCGGGATGAGCAAAGTTTAACCTTAGGGGTCATAATAATTTTACAACTTCCTATATAAAAAATACCTCAATAAAATTATTTACCTTGTGATAATCTGGTAGGTCCATTAACTTTGGCGCCATCAATCGACAAATTCTCTGACAGTGGATAAATCGTCACGACGCCTTCGCTGTTTTCGATGTGACAATGCAACGGCGAAACTCCCGTTCCTTGTACCGGGATGTCGACTCCCGGCCCACTGCCCAAAGTCACTCTTCCTGAAACCAAATAAATTGAATTGTTAAAGGTGTGCTGTGTTAAAGTCAAAAATAGTGATTCCAGAAGCAACTAGGGCGGCACATCCGCTCAAAAATGAAAAATCGTAAATAAGGCGGCGTTATTTCCAGCTCAAAATAAACAAAGACCGTCCAGACATCATTGCACGTGTAGTGTGTACCTACTTTTTCAGTTTTCTGGTACCATAATGGATATTTTAGGGTTGTTTTTTTAATCGTTTTATTCTTTAGGGGTATTTAAATATATTGTATGTCTTATTTGCATACCTACCTGAGATATCTTTCTCCAATTTTTGTAAAAATTTTGCTTTTGTAGAAACAATTCAAAAAGTTGATTATTACCGGCTCTTGAATTCACTATCAAATGTCAATCAATTAAGAACCGGTAGTAATCAGAATTTTCATTCCTAAAATCCTATAAATCGAACTCGTTGAATATTCAATCAAAATCTGATTGTAAATTATGTTTTTACGAGGCTTCCAAGTTCAAGGCACGAGAAATCTGATACTGGGCAGTAATAATTTCTATATATGAATCACTACAAGATAAAAATCAAGCCTACATTCCACATCAATCAAAATTCAAATGCCTCCCACAGTGAAATTTGAACCCTTCTCAAGTACGGAAGGTACCTGTCGGATTAATTTAAGCCAGTTTATTGGTTGTTTGAGTTTCAATTTTAATTGTTGTTAATACTTACCGGTAAAGTTAATTGCCAAAAACTATAAACTACATAATTTCCTAGGAAAAATCTATGTAGGATGCTAAATAAAACAAGGAGATTGTACAAATAATTGATAAGATAACAGAGAGGAGGTTAAAGGAATTGCGTTTTCTAATAATATACTGTAGGTAATAGCATTTATTCATCTATACACCAAAGAGCTCTATTGAAATCTGACACAAAATATCAACTTTGAAGGCCAATATCTTGAAAATTGTTCCAAATATTGGAATCAAACTTGTTTCATTTTGGAGTGCATTAAATTCTGATTCAGAAGAGTTATTTTTAAATTGAAATATGTGAAATATTAAGGGAGTAATAGATGATTTTGTGAGGCCATGTCGAATAAATGAAATTTTCAGAGACCAATAAGTGTTTTCAATTTGTTTCAAGCCTTGAAACCTTTAACATAGAGTTTTCAGAATGTTTTTCTACTAAATTTGACCTCCTTAAGTCAGAAATTTGAAAAACTCAAAAAAATAATTTTTGACCTAGCACCAAAGAAGCTCTATGGAAATCTGAGACAAAGTTTCAACTTTGGAGGCCCATATCTTCAAAACCGTTCCAAATATTGGAATCAAACTTGATTTTTCTTGAATTTTGATTAAGAATAATTATTTGCAACAGTGGCGGCTCGTCGTATAAAGCAACTGAGGCCGAGCCTCACATGTAAAAATTACGATAATGATGTAAAGTTTTGAAATATTTAATAAATATTTAACGTTTTTCAACTACATATTTTCAACCATTAAAAGTATCAAAACATCAAATTTTCAACAAAGTTTAATACTATCTCCTGAATTTAGCGTGCGATTCTGCCTATTTATCCTTCTAGGCGCTCAAATCGTTGGCGGACAGCGTAAAAATAAAATAGCAATCCCAAAAATGTTTGCCTCATGTGCGTCACAGAACGCCGATGCGATGCCATGCCACTCCCTACCACAACCCTTCAACTGTAGGCGAGACGATAGCGAATTTTTGTAGGCATTGAGGCGCACAATTTTGGGCTTACTAAAGGAAAAACCTTGCATCTCTTGATGTTGCGACAAGTAGCAAATGCCAGTGCGTGATTTAATTGGCGCGTACCTTTTATTTTTGTCTGTTGCGGGTTAAAATACTGTTAATAATAATTGATATTGTTGTATTGCTGAATGGAGGTGCCAATTATTATAATTGAATTATAATTTATAATTAGGTATGAGTGTAAAATGAATCCCTCTCACGATATTGTTTTGTCTTTGCTAGAAACTTCCTTCTCTCAACGACCTGAAAGTGTGTTTTTTTAATGAATTTTTGGATCAATAGGCGTGGCACTCAAAAATTTTGTTTAGGGTTTGTTTGGGTTAGCTCAGAAATGCGGTGGGCTTTGGGCCTCACCAGTTTGGATTGTCACGAGCCGCCACTGATTTGCAAATTGAAATATGTGAGATATTAATGGAGTTATAGATGATTTTGTGAGGCCATGTTGAATGAATGAAGTTTTGAAAAACCAAAAGTCTTTTCAATTTGTTGTGAGCCTTAATTCAAACCTCTCTAATAAAAATTGTCAGAAAGTTTTTCCACTAAATTTGACTTCCTTTTTTGATTGGTAAACTCAAAAATTTGAAAAACTCAGAGACATAATTATTGGCATATCAGCATTCTTGAAATCTGACACTGAAATTTTTTCACTCAAAAACTAAAGTGAGTGGAAAGTTGAAATTTTGAGGACTTTCTCCTAATGATTTAATGTAAAAAATACCAAAAATTCAAAGCGATTGAGTTATTATTAATGGAGTTACGATTTTTTTAAAATAATGATGTTTTGTAAAATAAGATTTTACAAACAATTTTTTCACTCAAAAACTAAAGTGAGTAGAAACTTGAAATTTTGAGGATTTGTTCCTAATGATTCAATGTAAAAAATACCAAAAACTCAAAGCGATTGAGTTATTATTAATGGAGTTACGATTTTTTGAAAATAATGATGTTTTCTAAAGTAAGACTTTACAAACAATTTTTTCACTCAAAAACTAAAGTGAGTGAAAAGTTGAAATTTTGAGGACTTTTTCCTAATGATTCAATGTGAAAAATACCAAAAACTCAAAGCGATTGAGTAATTATTAATGGAGTTACGATTTTTTGAAAATAATGATGTTTTGTAAAGTAAGATTTTACAAACAATTTTTTCACTCAAAAACTAAAGTGAGTGGAAAAATGAAATTTTGAGGACTTTTTCCTAATGATTTAATGTAAAATATACCAAAAACTCAAAGCGATTGAGTTATTATTAATGGAGTTACGATTTTTTGAAAATAATGATGTTTTGTAAAGTAAGACTTTACAAACAATTTTTTCACTCAAAAACTAAACTGAGTGGAAAGTTAAAATTTTGAGGACTTTCTTCTGATGATTCAATGTAAAAAATACCAAAAACTCAAAGCGATTGAGTTATTATTAATGGAGTTACGATTTTTTGAAAATAATGATGTTTTGTAAAGTGAGACTTTACAAAGAATTTTTTCACTCGAAAACTAAAGTGAATGGAAAGTTGAAATTTTGAGTACTTTTTTCTAATGATTTAGTGTGAAAAATACCAAAAACTCAAAGTGATTGAGTTATTATTAATGGAGTTACGATTTTTTGAAAATAATGATGTTTTCTAAAGTAAGACTTCACAAACAATTTTTTCACTCAAAAACTAAGGTGAGTGGAAAGTTGAAATTTCGAGGAATTTTTCCTAATGATTCAATGTAAAAAATACAAAAAAACTCAAAGCGATTGAGTTATTATTAATGGAGTTACGATTTTTTGAAAATAATGATGTTTTGTAAAGTAAGACTTCACAAACAATTTTTTCACTCAAAAACTAAACTGAGTGGAAAGTTAAAATTTTGAGGACTTTTTTCTGATGATTCAATGTAAAAAATACCAAAAACTGAAAGCGATTGAGTTATTATTAATGGAGTTACGATTTTTTGAAAATAATGATGTTTTGTAAAGTGAGACTTTACAAAGAATTTTTTCACTCGAAAACTAAAGTGAATGGAAAGTTGAAATTTTGAGTACTTTTTTCTAATGATTTAGTGTGAAAAATACCAAAAACTCAAAGTGATTGAGTTATTATTAATGGAGTTACGATTTTTTGAAAATAATGATGTTTTCTAAAGTAAGACTTCACAAACAATTTTTTCACTCAAAAACTAAGGTGAGTGGAAAGTTGAAATTTCGAGGACTTTTTTCTGATGATTCAATGTAAAAAATACCAAAAACTCAAAGCGATTGAGTTATTATTAATGGAGTTACGATTTTTTGAAAATAATGATGTTTTGTAAAGTAAGACTTCACAAACAATTTTTTCACTCAAAAACTAAAGTGAGTGGAAAAATGAAATTTTGAGGACTTTTTCCTAATGATTTAATGTAAAAAATACCAAAAACTCAAAGCGATTGAAGTATTATTAATGGAGTTACGATTTTTTGAAAATAATGATGTTTTGTAAAGTAAGACTTTACAAACAATTTTTTCACTCAAAAACTAAACTGAGTGGAAAGTTAAAATTTTGAGGACTTTTTTCTGATGATTCAATGTAAAAAATACCAAAAACTCAAAGCGATTGAGTTATTATTAATGGAGTTACGATTTTTTGAAAATAATGATGTTTTGTAAAGTAAGACTTTACGAACAATTTTTTCACTCAAAAACTGAAGTGCGTGGAAAGTTGAAATTTTTAGGACTTTTTCCTAATGATTCAATGTAAAAAATACTAAAAACTCAAAGTGATTGAAGTATTATTAATGGAGTTACGATTTTTTGAAAATAATTATGTTTTGTAAAGTAAGACTTCACAAACAATTTTTTCACTCAAAAACTAAAGTGAGTGGAAAAATGAAATTTCGAGGAATTTTTCCTAATGATTCAATGTAAAAAATACAAAAAAACTCAAAGCGATTGAAGTATTATTAATGGAGTTACGATTTTTTGAAAATAATGATGTTTTGTAAAGTAAGACTTTACCAACAATTTTTTCACTCAAAAACTAACGTGAGTGGAAAGTTGAAATTTTGAGGACTTTTTCTTAATGATTCAATGTAAAAAATACCAAAAACTCAAAGCGATTGAGTTATTATTAATGGAGTTACGATTTTTTGAAAATAATGATGTTTTGTAAAGTAAGATTTTACAAAAAGTTTCAACTTTGGAGGCTCATATCTTCAAAACTATTCCAAATATTGGAATCAAACATGTTCTATCTTAAAGAGCAAATAATTCTGATTTAGAATAATTATTCCAGAAAAGTATCAGAATCTTAGGATTCAGTAGAACTTTCAACCTTCAATAGGCATCCAGAACATTTCAAATCCAAATCAGATTTTTCAGAAGTATTCCCTATTTCTTATATCCAGAACATTAGGATTCAATTTAGAGCATACTGGAACTTTTTTGAACCAATTTAGAACACTTTGGAGCTTCAATAAGGCTCCAAAATGAAAATTCTGCTATGTAGAACAATTGAGAAATTAGTGAAAAACTTCTAAAAGCAGTTTGGAAAACTTTAGGACAATATAGACATTTCAGGACTAATTTAAAGAAACTTCTAAAAACCAATTTGTATTCCCCAGAAGCACTTTAAGAGTAGTTCGGAATAATTTAGAAACCTCATAACCATTCTAGAAAGCCTCAGAGAATACGTAGCATTCAATTTAGAAGTTATTGGAAACTGGAATTTCAATAAGCCTTTTCGAAAATTTAAAACACTAAAACACTCTAGAATCTTCAGAAATATTTTGAAAAGCTCCAGAATCTTAGGATTCAGGTTAAAAGTTGCAAAACGTCTAATGTATCAGGACAACTTTACAAAAATTCTTACCTGGTGGTAAAGGATGTAAAGTCACGGAAGTACTGAGCCTGTCGCCTCCCATGCTGACCAAATGGGGCGCGTCAGTTTGCAATTTGAGCGCTCTGCCGGTACCATCTTTGCCCACTTCTGAGGTACCACCTGGAGGACCTCCCGACAACGTCACACCTGACATCCTGAAACAGATTATACACTGAAACTTTTCTGAACCATTTCAAATCAGACTTAAATTTTGATGTTTATAGAAAACGATGATGGTCTACTAGAAGGCGCCCTCAACTATTCATTATTACCTAAAACGAATCATTTTTTCTAAAATCGGTTTCTTCACAGTTGGAAGAACAATTAACTACTAAGGCCTTTCCACCGTAGTTTAACTGTTAAGCCGACAGGTTTGTAACAGTAAAACAATATCGCCGAAAACTTCCTAATGAAAATTCATTTGCATTTAATCGAAATTGCCTCCGGCATCCGGTGGACATTAAAATGCAACACAAAATGTTATGATGTAATTATTATTGATTGGTTTTTTTGACGTAATTTTTTTAAATATCTCAAACAGATGTGTGTTAACATAAACTAGAACATGTGTGACACCCAGATTGATAAGAATTTTTAATGAGCAAACGTAATTATTACACAAGGCCAACTCATATAGACTAGAATATTTACATTTTTAATACCCAAGCATTATTTTAATGCTATTTTTAAAAAATATTCAATATTTACACAGTTGCATTTTAAGGATTTGTGACTTTCAGGTCAACAAACCCAAAAGTCATCAAATTAATTATTGCAAAATTAATGATTAAGTATAATTCCTATTGTAACAAATTTTGTGATTCAAAACTTTATAATGAAATAGGTATTTCCTTTTTAATGATTATTGGGTAGATAAAATTAAATTAAAGACCCCCCCATTGTGTGTCTAATAATAGAGGTATAGGCATTTCTTTTGATTTAGGTATACAAGCCAGGTATAGAAGATGCAAGCCTAGAAAATTTTTATGAGATGTTGTGTGTTGCAACACCAAAATAAGGTTGTAAAATTTAGATTTTATATGGTTTTAACTGCTGGTTGGTTATAATTAAAAATTGCGTCACCGCCACAGTGTTGTTGACTTAATTTAAGGCAATTTATTATTATTACAGGCCATGTTGGGTTTAAATTACGTTTTTAGCTTTCTCAGAATTCGATTTTTTTCAATTTGAATCTGTTTTTCAAATTCCTCATGCCTAAGTAGGTACATGTTTCTCTTATATTTTTCTATCTATTTCTCATTGAATTTTCTTTGTTTTTCTTCTCTGGAAATTTTAGAACTTTGAAGAATGTTTAATGAAAACACTTTAATCGAGAAGTTTTTCACCTTGTTAATCGGTGTACAAATCACTGGCTAATATATGTCAATACCAGGTAAATACTATTTCAATCGTGTCATGCAATACCTACTTGTTAATTATGTAGGTAATATATGTCAATACTTGTAGATATCTTGGCAATATATGTTAATGTCATTGGTTGATACCAAGGGGTTAACCACCATCCCAAAATCGGTGCAAATAATTCCTCAAAGGGCAATTTTTTACGCATAATTCCTCAAAATTACTGCAAATTCCTCCAAATTCTTTCAGATATCCTATCACAAATTCCTCCAAATAGCCCACCACGAACTTCTCCAAGTAGGTACTCCACAAATTCCTCTAAAAAAAGGGAAAATTTTGAAACTTTCTGCATGCAAAGAGGAAGGTAAGAAGATCATTTTCCAGTGGAAAACAGCAACATGAAAAATCTTGAAAATCAACCTACAAAAACTAAATTAGTTGAAAATACAGTCTCACACATTTCAAAGTTTTCCTGGAAAACTAGTGGAGGGAAAATTTTGAAATTTTTTGCATGGGAAGAGGAAGACGAGAAGCTCATTTTCCCAAAATTTCAAATTTTTCCAGTAGAAAATTACAACATGAGGAATCTTGGAAATCAACCTACAAAAACTGAATTAGTTGAAAATACAGTCTCACACGAGGTCTCACACATTTGGAAGTTTTCCTGAAAAACTAGTGAAGGAAGTAATTTGAAACTTTTTGCATGTAAAGAGGAAGGTGAGAAGTTTATTTTCCCAAAATTTCAAATTTTTCCAGTGAAAAACAGCAACATGAAAAATCTTGGAAATCAACCTACACAAACTGAATTAGTTGAAAATAAAGTACCACATATTTCAAGTTTTCCTGGAAAACTAGTGAAGGGAGAAATTTGAAACTTTTTGCATGTAAAGAGGAAGGTGAGAAGCTCATTTTCCCAAAATTTCATTTTTTTTCCAGTGGAGAACAGCAACATGAAAAATCTTGGAAATCAACCTACAAAAACTGAATTAGTTGAAAATACAGTCTCACACATTTCAAAGTTTTTTTGGAAAACTAGAGAAGGGAGAAATTTGAAACTTTTTGCATATAAAGAGGAAGATGAGAAGCTCATTTTCCCAAAATTTCAAATTTTTCCAAAGGAAAACAGCAACATGAAAAATCTTGGAAATCAACCTACAAAAACTGAATTAGTTGAAAATACAGTCTCACACATTACAAAGTTTTCCTGAAAAACTAGTGAAGGGAGAAATTTGAAACTTTTTGCATGTAAAGAGAAAGGTGAGAAGCTCATTTTCCCATAATTTAAAATTTTTCCAGTGGAAAACAGCAACATGAAAAATCTTGGAAATCAACCTACAAAAACCGAATTAGTTGAAAATACAGTCTCACACATTTCAAAGTTTTTCTGGAAAACAAGTGAAGGGAGAAATTTGAAACTTTTTGTATGTAAAGAGGAAGGTGAGAAGCTCATTTTTCCAAAATTTTAAATTTTTCCAGTGGAAAACAGCAACATGTAAAATCTTGGAAATCAACCTACACAAATTGAATTAGTTGAAAATACAGTCTCACACATTTCAATGTTTTTTTGGAAAACTAGTGAAGGGAGAAATTTGAAACTTTTTGCATGTAAAGAGGAAGGTGAGAAGCCATTTTCCCAAAATTTCAAATTTTTCCAAAGGAAAACAGCAACATAAAAAATCTTGGAAATCAACCTACAATAACTGAATTAGTTGAAAATACAGTCTCACACATTTCAAAGTTTTCCTGGAAAACTAGTGAAGGGAGAAATTTGAAACTTTTTGCATGTAAAGAGGAAGGTGAGAATTTCATTTTCCCAAAATTTCAAATTTTTCCAGCGGAAAACAGCAACATGAAAAATCTTGGAAATCAACCTACAAAAATTGAATTAGTTGGAAATACAGTCTCACACATTTCAAAGTTTTTCTGGAAAACTAGTGACGGGAGAAATTTGAAACTTTCTGCATGTAAAGAAGAAGGTGAGAAGCTCATTTTCCCAAAATTTCAAATTTTTTCCAGTGGAAAACAGCAACATGAAAAATCTTGGAAATCAACCTACAAAAACTGAATTAGTTGAAAGTACAGTCTCACACATTTCAAAGTTTTCCTGGAAAACTAGTGAAGGGAGAAATTTGAAACTTTTTGTATGTAAAGAGGAAGGTGAGAAGCTCATTTTCCCAAAATTTCAATTTTTTTCCAGTGGAAAACAGCAACATGAAAAATCTTGGAAATCAACCTACAAAAACTGAATTAGTTGAAAATACAGTCTCACAAATTTCAAAGTTTTCCTGGAAAACTAGTGACGGGAGAAATTTGAAACTTTCTGCATGTAAAGAAGAAGGTGAGAAGCTCATTTTCCCAAAATTTCAAATTTTTTCCAGTGGAAAACAGCAACATGAAAAATCTTGGAAATCAACCTACAAAAAACTGAATTAGTTGAAAGTACAGTCTCACACATTTCAAAGTTTTCCTGGAAAACTAGTGAAGGGAGAAATTTGAAACTTTTTGTATGTAAAGAGGAAGGTGAGAAGCTCATTTTCCCAAAATTTCAATTTTTTTCCAGTGGAAAACAGCAACATGAAAAATCTTGGAAATCAACCTACAAAAACTGAATTAGTTGAAAATACAGTCTCACAAATTTCAAAGTTTTCCTGGAAAACTAGTGACGGGAGAAATTTGAAACTTTCTGCATGTAAAGAAGAAGGTGAGAAGCTCATTTTCCCAAAATTTCAAATTTTTTCCAGTGGAAAACAGCAACATGAAAAATCTTGGAAATCAACCTACAAAACTGAATTAGTTGAAAGTACAGTCTCACACATTTCAAAGTTTTCCTGGAAAACTAGTGAAGGGAGAAATTTGAAACTTTCTGCATGTAAAGAAGAAGGTAAGAAGCTCATTTTCCCAAAATTTCAAATTTTTCCATTGGAAAACAGCAACATGAAAAATCTTGGAAATCAACCTACAAAAACTGAATTAGTTGAAAATACAGTCTCACAAATTTCAAAGTTTTCCTGGAAAACTAGTGAAGGGAGAAATTTGAAACTTTTTGCATGTAAAGAGGAAGGTGAGAAGCTCATTTTCCCAAAATTTCAAATTTTTCCAGTGGAAAACAGCAACATAAAAAATCTTGGAAATCAACCTACAAAAACTGAATTAGTTGAAAATATAGTCTCACACATTACAAAGTTTTCCTGGAAAACTAGTGACGGGAGAAATTTGAAACTTTCTGCATGTAAAGAAGAAGGTGAGAAGCTCATTTTCCCAAAATTTCAAATTTTTTCCAGTGGAAAACAGCAACATGAAAAATCTTGGAAATCAACCTACAAAAACTGAATTAGTTGAAAGTACAGTCTCACACATTTCAAAGTTTTCCTGGAAAACTAGTGAAGGGAGAAATTTGAAACTTTTTGTATGTAAAGAGGAAGGTGAGAAGCTCATTTTCCCAAAATTTCAATTTTTTTCCAGTGGAAAACAGCAACATGAAAAATCTTGGAAATCAACCTACAAAAACTGAATTAGTTGAAAATACAGTCTCACAAATTTCAAAGTTTTCCTGGAAAACTAGTGACGGGAGAAATTTGAAACTTTCTGCATGTAAAGAAGAAGGTGAGAAGCTCATTTTCCCAAAATTTCAAATTTTTTCCAGTGGAAAACAGCAACATGAAAAATCTTGGAAATCAACCTACAAAAACTGAATTAGTTGAAAGTACAGTCTCACACATTTCAAAGTTTTCCTGGAAAACTAGTGAAGGGAGAAATTTGAAACTTTCTGCATGTAAAGAAGAAGGTAAGAAG